CTGAGGCCTGAAACATCTGATCAAAGGTAAGATGAAGAAATTGCAGTTGTTGTTAGCCTCAAGTTTGTTCTGTGAATTTGCTCCTCGCGTTGAATGGAAATTTCAAGTATTTTAGGTATTCTTTGCGCTCTCTCTCGAAAGAGAAGGGCACATTATGGGCTAGATCTGCTTTTTGAATGTTTCAGCCGAGATCTGTCGGCGGTCCTGCGATGTTCTGTCATAAAACTGGAGAATGATTTTCACGAAATTTGGTATGGAGCGTACGCCACTGTAGGCTGATTGAAATCGGTTTTTGTTTGTTTGTGCAGTTGGTATAGTCGGCGCAGTAGTTTTTGGCCGGTGGAATTTTCAAGGGGAAGGCTAGGAGCGAGTCTCTTTTGCGATAGTATAATGTTTCGTCTGCCTCCAAACAAAAGAAATACGCTGGCCGTGCCATCTCAGGTACACAGACTAGGCCCGTCCGCCAGCTCCGCTAGCTTCTCCACCTGCGAAAAACTACTGCGCCGACTACAATACCAGTGCTCAAAATCGTGCGGTATGATCCTTCTCCATGAAACCATTACTCACGATCCTCAACAATGATTTTACCGACAGAAAGCACGCTATCCTCACAAATTACTTCATCGCCCTGATGTCCGTATTTTCTCATGCAACTCGAGAAAGTCTGGACTGATTTTCATTAGATTTGGTATGAATGTTATGCTGTTGAAGACTACTCTGAACTCGTACTTTTTAATTTCTTGCAATCGATATCAATGTGATAGTTGCTCAAAGCCCTGAAGTGGGAGGATAATCATCTGTGATGACGTCATTGAACATCATTTACTGAATTATGCTGCCGTCATAAAGTTAAAATAAAGTCTAAGCTGCTGAAGGAAGTGAAATGTTGAAAAAATCTGAATAATTAATTATTTTATTTCCGTGACTGCGTGGGAAATATATTCTGTAAATGTACCACTTCTACAAATTATGGCGATAAATTTGTTAGTAATTGTAAAGAAGAGTGAATGTAGAAGATTGTTTTTTGTTTATTAATTGGAGTTAATGTATGTTTAAAGAGATGACGTTAAACATTTTATAGTAAAGGACCCCTTTGGAACCGAAAGTACATATTTATAATCTTGTTTCTTGTCATTATTCTGTCCAATCCCCATACGTCATCTCTTCGATAATCTTGTCATTCACTACTGCCGCCGCCATGTAATTTACATGGCTACTAAATGCAGTGAAGTCTACCTCCATTACCAACGTTCACGATGTAAAACCGTTTCCGAAACGTTGCTTTACAAGGCCATTCTCACGTGACTGACCGTCCGAAGAAGGCACGTATTGCTACGCCAAAATTACCGAAACTTGTGACACCCCCTTCCACGTATAATACCTTTGCTGCCGAAAAGTCCCTTAGGAACACTGGTAATACCAACATAAGATTATCAACTCCGGCGATACTAGTAAAGACATTTGTTGTCACCGTAGTGCCGTATCACAGTCCTCGGCCAGATCTGCTCCTAGGAATAAAAGTCTCTTTATATAGGAACGTAAAGATAACGACACGAGCCCTTGCCGATTTTTCAGAAAATATTTTCAATGTAACTGTTTATATTGACTCCGAGCTCGTCCGTTCCACAAACGAGTCTCGCCCATCTTACGTCTCCAACGACGTTTTTCCAAAATCTCTTTCAGTCCACTTCCACGTCTCGTTGTATGACAACGATCTTCTCACGTGAAGTGTTATATAATTCACAGTGTTTTCTTTTGAACTGTTAATATTCTTAATTTTTGAAATGGATGACGAAAAACTGATAGAATTGGTAAGGCGAAATGGAGTTTTGTACATGACGCACCCAAAATACACGGATCCAAGCTTAAAAAAATCAATTTGGAATGAAATTGGAAAGAAATTAAGTAAAACAGGTAAAAAATACGTAATATTTATAGTTGTAAAGAATTTATTAAATTTTAAGAACAAATTTTTGGTCATGATCCATTAATTCTCTATATATAATGAATTCTCATTGAATTTTTTTTATTTCGCCACGCAAGATGTACACACCATCCTCTTCTTCCAACAAAATTGCCATAATGACTAAATCTTCAAAGGAAAATGAAAACTGAGCTGCCATAGCTGAACGACTTCGATTCGCCGAAAAGTTTTGTGATCGGCCTCGTCCCGATTCCACGACGTGTATGTATAAATGGAGAGGCTTTTTTCTCGGGCTCGTGTCGTTATCTTTACGTTCCTATATAAAGAGACCTTAACACGGAACACCGACCTCACGTCGCGTGCACGTATCGCCTTAGCAACCACGGAGTAAAACGACTATGTAATAAAGTATGTTTTAATGCTACATTAAATTGTTCCTCTTTATGTATGAGGTTGGTTATGTGAACTATGAAAAGCAAGGACCCTAGAGTTTATCTTTGGGAAACTTCATGTTTTATTGTTCCTCAGTTTGAGAAAAAATTCTGATTGTTATTAGGTGATTTTATTTTAACCTTTAATTTTCAGTCTGTTAAATAGGATCTGAACCATTTAGCAGCTATATCCCTATAAGGCCATAAGAGTGTACTTTTGTTAATAGAATTTGATCATTTACACAGTCAAAGACTTTGCTAAATAAATAGATTTCACCACATTGTTAGTTTGAAGGCTGCAACTTCAGTGAACATCCCTTTCCTGAAGTCAGATTTTGTGGGACTAATGTGTTGTTAATATGCATATGATGACTTAACCAAGTATGCACAACCTTTTCAAGTACCTTAGAAAAAGTCGTTGGTAGTGAAATTGGCCTGTAGTTTGCAATTCTGGTTTTGTCACTTTCTTTTTGTACAGTGGTTTTGCTGCTGACATTTGAAGATGGTCCAGGAAGTCTCTGTACGTAATGATTTATTACAAATGTCGGCTAATGGGTGTTTAATTCGGGCTCAAGAAGCTTTCAAAATTTTACTTGTAATTTCATCATAACCTGATGGAATATTTTTGTGTTTGAGTTAATATATTATACTCCTTATCTTACATTTAGTGATTGGAATAATTTTGATACCAGGAAATCTTATAGGAAATGCATCTTTTTTTAAATAAAATGGAATCTTTTGTCCCTAAATGACGTTTCAGAGGTACTTGCTGCCTCCATTATCACCTCTGAAACGTCGGTAAATATCTACCAGACTACACAGGGCAACAACCCAGAAGACAGCAATCTTTAGACTCACTGCCGTGAAAACTTCAAATTCAACATGTTACCATTTTGTCTTACTAATTGGTATTTTATATATCTTACTTTTTTACATGCTATACAGTTACATTTTAGCCTTAATGGAAGAATGTACTAACTGATGATGGTTAATATGTTGTTCAAAACATGTAGTGGAATGAATAAATAATACATAAATTGTCATAATAATATTCTAATGCCCCAATGTTAGAGGATAATTTTTTGTTGAGTTCTTCCTGAGAAGATTGTACAGATGTGCAATTTGTACAAAAAACATGGTAGGGATGGAAAACATTAAACTGTACATATTTAAAAAATAGGGTTGTATTGCTAGCTCTCATAAGCACTCAAGTTTGGTATTTCAAATAATAATTCAGGTAAGATTTAATTGATATACGTACTCACACGTAGGACTACAGTTTTAGAGAGGACTCCTAACCACACATGAAAGCTGTTCGCTGTCCTCAAATCTTTGTGTGTGAAATACTCTTGTACTCCTTCTTGGTTCACAGCTAAGCAGCACACACAATTATTAAACTACTTGTGTTGAGTAGATAATAATGCCACACCTAAGGGAGTTTACTTACACATCATTATGTGCTGATACTGCCCCATAGGGAACTTCTGAATGTCCTACATATACATTTGTCAGAGTTAATTGTACTGTTATGTCTGATTAATTACATGCGAAATTTATTGTTGGAATAGTATTGATGGAAACAGCATTACAGAAAGAAGACAAGATGACGTACCACCCCTGGCACATCAGGTGTACTTGCCTGTCAAAGCACCAACTGTACGGTATGTGCCTCATAGTGGTTGGACCCGTTACAGGTCAGCTGTGCGGTCCCTGGTTCCATTCAGAAGGAACAGCAGGTCAGTGTAGGTACTGTCCTCATTGTAGGGTTCAAGGTGACATGTCCTCTGTGGAAGTTTTAAGTACAATATTGTCTCTGTGTTTTCCTAAAATTATCCTTTATACTGCCATTGCTTAACCACAACCCACTACAGACATCAGGGTCCACCACTTGTGATAAATATTCCTCCAAAGTATTATGCCTAGTTGGCATTTTATGGGTGTCACAGAATTGTATCTTTCCATCTTCTTATAGATATTAACAATCCTTTAAAGGAGGTCATACTTTGAGTTTATGTCTAAACATTTTAATGGAATTTTACAATATTTTTTTATGTTTTTAAGAAATGGTATACTACCACAAAAAGGCACTGAACATTTCCAAGCATAATCATTCTGTGGGTTTATATTTTATAAACTGTTTTAATATTCCATCAGTGCACCTTCAATAGCTTGACCAATCCATGTTTTCCTCAACTTCTTGTGGTATGTTCAACTGATACTGATTTGGATATGGCACTTGAGCAATTATGTCAATGCTGCATGAAATTTTGGTACAGGAAGCCTGTTAGTCACCTCAAAATATAGCAACCTTACTACATATATTGCAACTTATTAGTGAGGAATAAAATGGTGGGTCTTTTATATTGCCTTTAGTGTAATATGTAAACAGAACCAGACATCTTAATTGTGACCCAAGATGAGAATAACACAAGGGTAAGGAAAGAATTTTGTACTTCAGATCTGCACATGGCCTTCCTGTGGACAAAGTGGGCCTGTTCTCATATGCTACTTTCAGCTGGCTGCGAAGCACTGTGAACAAGATAGATGAGTGTAACGTTCCCACGTGTTCACCACTTGACTCCTGTGATATCAACGGAGAGAGGTGAGGCTTAGTGCTGACTGCAGTACACTTGTTTGTATGTTGTGGCAGATGTGATGTTCATTGTGCTTTCAATTTATTTTACGCAGACTGCGTTACATCTGGAGGGAAGAGGGAGTGAGCACAGGACATTTGGGCTCATCTTTATTCACTGTGATGTGGAGGTTTGTGAAAACACGCGTGATCATCGCTGCCCTCATCTACATCTTGGGACTGACATTCAGCATTCTAGGGCCTGTAAGAAAACTATTTTGAAGCTGACATTTTCTTACATAGTACAAAGTATATTTGTGAGACATGAAAATATATTTCTTGTTGTGTTTATCTCTTGGTTGGAGTTTGCAAGTTTCTTATTTTGCATCTTTGCAACATTTACTATAATGAAAAAGTAGTGTTATGTCTTTCATTTTATAAAATGTGCATGTTAATTTTAATGTAGGATGAAATACTGAAAATCATAGTACATATACCATGTACACTGGTGTATGTACACCTGAAATTTTAATGTAGGATGCAATACTGAAAATCATAGTACATACACCATGTACACTGGTGTATGTACACCTGAACACACATGCCTGCCCATGCATTCACATACATAAATATACTACATCTGTCTTCAACTGCTCACTATGTTTTGTGAAGTAGATTGTGTAGATGAGAGAGTTGGTCTTTCACTTTGGAATATCAAAGTGTAGAATTCTGTTTAACAGCATAACACAGAAAAACATGGACAAACATTTTTGTCTTGAGTGGGGTTAACACACAATTACAGTGTTTGACAGAACAAGAGTCTGAGATTCATGTCTTAGACCATGCATACAATGTAATTGCCATATATATATATATATTAATAAGAAATGTACTCATTACTTGCATTCGATCCTTTTTGCTGACTGTGAAGTGACAATCAGAATGCTTCATCGGCAGATAAATGAGTTACTCAGTATTAATTTGATTTCACAGCCTAAGGTGAATCTTGGCAAATGTAGCTGTCGCTCAATTATTCTCATTGCCCCACCAGTTGGAGAACTTAAGAAGTATGGTAGCCTTTTCTAGGGAAGATGCTATGCATGCTGACTCTGCTTATTATCAGTTACTTGGTCAGGCTGATGAAATACATAAGAACATTAGTAAAGTAAAGTTAAGCTGTCCCACTATACTCCATGTAGGTACTTGGGCGGAGTAGAGGTATGACTCATACTCATCCTTGACCTCGGCACTAGATGGTGGTGAGTGGTCAGCATCACTCTGCTTTACCTCCGGGAAAGGACCCTAGTACCCATTGTGTAGGAGGCTGGGTAGGCCCCAGAGCTGGTCTGAAGAGGCTAGAGGAAAAATCCTCTGCCCCCGTCGAGAATCGAACCCCAGTATTCCAGCCTGTAGCCACTCACTATACTGATCGAGATACATCGGCTCCTATTTAAGAATGTTATGTGATCAAAGATTTATGTGGAATTTTATGCAGTAATTAGACACATTTTTACTTTGAAATTTCAGATGTGCTGCTAAGAAATCTGCCTCCAAACTATATGAGGTATCCATAGGTTGGTAATGTGGATTTCATCTATTTACAAAAAGAAAATTTTGTTTATTTGAAATACAGCTCTGAGAGTGAGTGTAAAGTTATAATGAAATCTGGCAAGTGTATTTGGTAGCACATAGAGTACATGTGAACAAGTTTTTTCACATGTGAAGCAAAACAAAAATCTAAATTGCATTTAAGAATCTCTGTTGTGCACTTCCGTAATGTGATGTGTATTGACACTTAGAAAATGGAGCAAAATGTTCATCCTCTTGCAGAGGAAATGTAGACCCAAGTTTTATGGAAGTTTAAGTTATTTTTATTATAATATTCAGTTTTTGTTGGTTAGTGTAGAGATATTTGAATGTTCTGGCTTTCGTAGAACACTATATTCCTGAAGGTAGGGAAGGTTGGTTACAACTAAAAGGAAATTAGCACAGTTTAAACAGGATTGGGTACAGCATGTTAAGGGGATGAAAAATATTAGTTACTGAAAATAACTTCTAAAGTACCAAGCTATTAGAAGACAGGGAGCCAAAGATCTTGACTGCCATTAAACAGGCCACTAGGTTGTTACACTCATGAGGCCAGAAGAGTCCATTCATTTGTCTAACTTAGTGACCAGAAGAAGAATAAGATGAAATGAAGAAGACATATTCAGTATTTTTAATGCTAGTTTTTGTTGCATGTGTATTACTCACAAAATTTAGCTGATGTTTGTCGTTGTTAAGAAGTTGTTATTAATAACAAACTAATTTACTGATAAATGAAATGATGATAAATGTAATGAATAATTATCAGGAAATCAGACATGTGAGAACTGTAATCCAACATTTCAGAGACTGGAGGTAGACGCAGTCTCTAAAATGTTGGATTACAATGCTATTTTCAAATGGTTGATTTCCAAAAAAGACGTAATTACATTCAGTCATCTTAAAAGCTTTTATATCTTATATATTGGTAAATCGTTGAGTGATTATAAATGTAACAATTTATGATCTGTCTTCTTTATGTATATGTGTGAGAGTTTGCCTGCTTGTGCATGTGTGATCTTTTTATCTCTTTGTTTAAAAATAGGCAGATCCCAGAACTGCAGTTAGAGGTGACAACTTTTAATTTTGCATGCTTTATATTATGGGAACTGTTGACATTTGCCCTTTAATTTATCAATCATTTATTCACCATTGCTTTTTTATGTACTTCAAACTTCTGTACTCCAAACTTTTTATGTACTTCTAACTTGATAATTTTATAGGGAAGCACCTGGTATGAATTACTGTTCTTCTCCTTTACAGGTTATTTGTCTGCAAGGTTTCCTGTTTGCCCTGAAAGGAAGCAGAAATATCAGTGATTATAACAGTACCAATAAAACAGTGAGTGAAGACAGCAACAGTGTCATGAAGATACAGGCGTTTATATGGGCCGTGGGTTTGATTGCTACCGAATTGGTTTCTGTGTTGCTAGTTGCCTGGAGCTGGAGCATCATTTGTAGGTTAGAACATGAACTAATTTACCGATATTTTGAATGTGGAGCACCCCATTTCTTAGGAACAGAATTATTGTGGTATAGAATACAACGGAATAGAGCAGAATAGAATTTATTTACATTTCATCAGCCCTTCACAGCACCAAGCTAAGGATATGGATTACATCTTAATGCAAATATAATAATTAATATCAACATTTTGTTAGAATATTCTATTACACAGAGCAAAATGGTTATGGGAAATATTTTCATCATAAATATCTGCAGCACTTTAAGACTCCTTAATTGAATTGAATTTATTTACAGAGTAATAACCGTAATTACACTTATAATTGAAACTTATTTATACTCTTTAGAACCTTTAAGACTAAGTCAAAGATAGACATGACTCACTGTGGAGGCCTGGGTTCAGTCCCAGATGACTTAAAGTGAAATGTGTAGCTGACAAAGTCATAATGGAGCAAATTATTCTAAGTTTTACTCCATTGGTCATCATTAAACTATTGCTTCTTACTTACCTATCACCACCACACGAGGTGTCTGATATCCCTGACCAAGTAGAACATTATCATATCCTTAGTTCTAAATTAGGGGCCTTGGCTCTGAACCAATATTTTACTGGTCTCAGGGTAAAGGCTGTTAAATTAAATTCTTAATTTAATTTTTTTTGTATGTTAACAACAACTGGAGTTCCAGTATACTGTGAAACAATTTACCAGCTGCCTTTGAAAGGTTTTACATCACCAGCCTACTCACTCTGGTGCAGACAGAATGTATTAAACTTCCACCTTTACTGTTACACCCATCTTGCATGTTTGCCAGTGTGAGTTTATTTCCAGGACTGCGATGCGATTACGCTCAGCCAGCATGGCTCTCATCTACAACAAGCTAGTGCACCTTTCCAATGTGAACACCATCTCTTCACAGCAGGTGAGCATGTGTGTGTTTGTACACATGTGCAATTGAGGTATGGATTGAGTAGAGCTCTAAACTTGTGCTGTTTTTTCAGATGGTCACTCTGCTGGGGATAGATGGACAGAAACTCCATGAGACAGTGTTGCATGGTTTTTACATTATCACAGCACCAATTGTGTTTCTGTTCTGTATTTTGTCCTTTATCTTCATTTTGAGCAGCACAAATTGTGATACACTGATGATAATGTCTATATTTATTCTCACGTTTCCTCTGTTGGTGAGTTTTGATAGTTTTGATTCAATCACTAATTTGTATTTATGTTAATTCTTTGTTTTATGAATAACTAACAAATATAGTTAAACAACTCTAAAACCACTATTCAGTCAATGCATATATTAGCTCTTTCATTGTTAGTGAAAGTGCATGTGTCTATAGGCTACGCATTAGCCAGTAATCACACTGTTATGAGCATTTAGACTCTTGTGCAGCACTGGGCAGCTTTTGTTCAGCAATTTTAAAGATACACTACTTGACCACAATTTATTCAAAGTAATGTGAGTTGAGAGACGTGTTTGTCGTCACTGAGGAATATTATAACAAAGTTATTTCTTAAAAATAACAGCCTTCAGATTTCTTTCAAGTTTATTACACTGATGCTCTCGATTCATAACACTTCCCATTACATGCAGTGATATGGCTGATGATATGACATTCATTTTTTCAGAAATTCTATCTTTTTGATTATTAAAGTCTGCTGGATGTGTCTGAAACACTTTGCTTTTCAAATAGCCCCATAAAAAGAAATCGCAAGATGACAGATCAGGTGAACAGGCAGGCCAAGAAATGTTGCTATAGCAGGAAATTATTTGATGTTCAAACCCATTCCTTAAAGTGTTCATCAACCGCTGATGAGTTAATTTTTGTAGAAATTAATGCCATATAATCGGCCATATTACAGCATGTAATCAATCTTGATGGACATCTGACAGGTGTTATTTTCAAAATGTAACTCTGTTTTAATGTCCTCATTAATGGCAAACACTTATCTTTCAATTCACATTACTTTGAATAAATTAGGATAAACCATGATAAATAATGCATCTTTAAAAATGATGAATGAGTGCTGGATTCCTATACATTTAAATCACTTTTGCATTTAAAAATTCAGATGTATAGGACTGTGACAGACCTATTCTGATCAGCCTAAACTGTATTAATATTGGTTGACAGATGACAAAAGTTGATTCTACAGCATGTTGTACACTTTGCAGAACTGTTCTGACTATATCACATAGCATGCTCTTTCACACAGTGGAATTTTCTGTCTATAACAGTGAAAGGGTTACATTGAGGTGCATTAAGTTACTTAAAGTGTGTGACACTAAACAATGAAGATAGTCAGTGGGGAAGGGAACTTTATATGATAACTTATTTAGCACAGTTTATTGTAATTTTATTTCTGGGTTGGTGGATATTTATAAATAACCAAAAAAAGTTTAGTAAAATGTAAGCTTAGTCATACATTCATCAGAATTTAAGATAAATGTGCATCTTTTCTTGTTGTGTTAAACAAATTATGTTTTAAAAAGTATTGTAAAATATGTGTGTAATTTGGGTTGAATGTTTGTTTCTCTTTTTTCTTACCTGGCATTTACTATTATTTTTGAAATGGCTTCTTGGTGATGCGTGCTTTGTGTAGATCTGCTTAGCATGTATTAATTTGCCATTAAGTATCTGTACCATTACAGTGTATGTTGGTTCGGCTGGCCAGTAGCCTAAGTGCCAGAGCCACCGCACTCTTCACTCGACGGCTGGCACTCATGTACGAGATGCTGACTCACATCAGACTTGTTAAAATGACTGCTTGGGAGAGTATGTTATCCCAACAACTTACAGGTAAGCTGTTTGAAGCTGTAACAGTTGATGCAGGTCTTTATATAAGTGTTCCTGACTTTAATAAGTCTCTTCTCTTTTTACAGGGGCTAGACACCAGGAACTGGGTTTCAGAAAGAAACAATATCTCTGTGATGGATTCTGTACATCTATAATACTAATCATACCAGTCATGGCTTTTGTCGTGTTCCTGTCTTCCAGAATGGATTTACATCTTGAATCTTTTGAAGTTTGTGGCTTTAATCAGTTTTGATATAGAAATTAAATATTTTATTACATTGTGTATTAAGTAATTTTTTGAAGTTAAGTTACTATGTATACTTATTTCAGATTCTATAGATTGAGTATTAATACTTCTTGCTTAGTCAGTAATGTCTGTGTCTCTTTTCTTATGATCACTTTTTGTACGTTTTATAATTGTTGATTATGTTTTCGTGGTCATCAGCTCAAACCTTAAGGTCACGGTTTCAGCTTTGTTTCTGAAGTCGCTGGTTTAATTTTGTTAGACCTTTATTCAAGTCTGAATTGTCATTGGTTCAGGTGTAATTGTCCATCAGTTTTTGTGGTCATTTAAATCATATTTTACAAACAGTGGTAGTTTAATACTTCTTCAGTCTTTCTGAAGTTATGATCATTGGCTCAGATTCAGTTCTTCTTAGTCATTCTGTAAATAGATGATGGTCTTCTGGGTTGTTATTCTGTTGATGGAGGCAGCAAGCACCTCTGAAGCTAGTGTAATCTCACTCTGTCTATATAATAATTTGTTCATTCCTATGTGTTACAGACATAGCTTTTGCTGCCATTCTTTTTATATTTATGTAATGCAGAATGTAGGAATTACCAAGTCATGGTTTTATGACCATTGTGTCAGGTGTGGAGGAAATGCCATCACTAGAATTTAGGGGGAGTTAAAGTTAAGTTCTTGTTTGTTTATTTTTTCATTTGTTAATAGTCCGGAATAACCATAGAAATCGAATCAACTTAAATTCTTTCACCAACCTCCAGCCATTGTTACTCAGCCCTTAGTGTAACAACCTTGCCCTTTCTTTTTATCCTATTTATATTATGTTTAATTCTTGCATTCTATAACTCTGCATGCCATGTATGGTCTCTTATTTGGTATGGGCATAAGGTATTGTCATGATTATTCATGTAAATATTTTACATGGTGCCACATTGTGGGTGTTAAGATGTTTGTATATCTGTGTTTTATTTCACCTAATACAGTACACATTCATCCCCAAACACTTCTCAAAATATTTCCTTTTCATTGCATATATATGAATGTTATATTGGACAGTGTCCAGTTGTGTGGTGTACATTTAAGAGTATCTACATGACATTTTTGGTGTTGATTCTGGTCCCATAGTCAGGTGACTGATTATCATTATAATGCTAGATTTGTTATTACCAGACCGCCAGGACAGTTTCCAAAATAATATAATGTATTCACTCAAACTGGAATGTACTCTAGGGACATCATTTTCAGAACTTCTTATAAAAGTGAAAGTTTTTTATGGGGTGATACTTCACTCAAACCAGAAAAATCTTGTATTGCTTGGTGGTAAATCTTGTAGCTCCCGCTGGGAGCTAGGAAATGACAGTTGCATTCTGGTTAATCAGTGAACACACTCTGTTTGTAAT